AGAGAGAGAGAGAGAGAGAGAGGACGACGAACAGCAGCAGCAGGGACTGGAGCGGAAGGAATGGAAGGAGTGGGAGGAGCAGGGGAAGGCGTAAGGGAAAGGAGTGGACGACAACGTAGGGGAAATCTCTGAACGAGAAAACTAATCCGCGCCGCGGCGACGGCGCACCTCTGGAGGGGGGAATTGAAGCCCCGTCTAAAGCCAGGCGCGGACGGGCCGCCTCAACAGCCCAAACCACATAGCATTTAGCCGTGCGGAGCCACTCGAAATTGTTCGCCGGCTGCCCATGCCCCGCGCTCAACAAAATTGCCGCAGAGAACCTTCAAACCGCGCCCATGGCCGCGACGACGGGCGCGCGGAGCGCGGCGATCCCAATTCGGACAGCGGCCTGAGCTGGAGGCAGCAACTCGGGCAGCCCGTTTCCGCGCCCGCCGAAAGTGCCCCAGCGCCCATTCTTCCAGGCAGCGTTGCATGCGCGCCCCCGCGCTGCGCGAGCGGCGCGTCGGACCCAGTCCACCCGCCGCTCGCCTGCCTGCCGCCAGAAGCCAACGACGCGGCGGAGCATGACGCTCTGCGCGGCCTTATGTCTCGGCACTCCTCCTGTTTGTGGCGCCCGCGAGTCAGCAGCCCAAAACACGGCCTCCGCGACCGCGACGTCAAGCAATTCACGCTTTTTCGAAGCATTCGACTTATTTAACAACAAACATTTCAAACCCTAAAAGCCCCGCCACCTCACGGGGCGCAGTTCCCGATCTCGGCCCCCGCGACGCCCTCCAGGGACACGATACACGATGATTCCAAGTGTTTCCAGATGCTCTCCCCCTTCCAAAAATCGATGCCAAAGTAATAAGACAAAGAGACATGGCCACTGCGCTTGAAGCCCCGCCTGTTGGTCTGCATCTTACCCTTGCTCCGGCGCAAGGAAAATCCCCTGCTCGCCAGAGCATCCCTGACCTTCAACATCATCCGGGCGGTCGAGAGCCAGCTTCGCGCGATCAGAATCTGATCATCCGCGAGTGGCAGCGAATAGCGAGAGAGAGATATACTTCGACGCCGTTGCACGGGCGCCGACAGGCATTCACAGACGGAGCGACACCGTCCATCATCATGGCCTCGAACAGCGCGGCGCGGTGGACTTGGCCAATGCTTTTCACGCCCAACGCGGCAATCAAAAATGTTTGCCAACGTCCAACGTGACAATCCACAACCACTCGCCCCTACCCGCGACGTCTCAGCAACCGTTCGAACATTGCGAACTGCATCTGCGAAACCACTCCCCGGTCTGAAACCGAACTGCCCTCATAATATTTGGAGGCGATGCCCGAGGCAAGACGGCGACGCAGCACGGCACTTTAACATTCTGCCATCACGTGATTCCATCGGTCAACGCCTGTCAAGGAGAGATGGATCGCCCTTCTTGAATACGACCTGGAACTCCGCGGCCTCTATTCCTCCGGCGGTCCCAGTTTTCCTTGGAGCAGCCTGCGCGAAGATCTGCGATTACCTGCATCAGCCTCGACTGCTCGGTTCTGCCGTTAACGCGTTTGCCGCCACCCCGTCGTCAGCCCCTGTCCTGCCACGCGCGAATTTGAGAGCCGCCCCCCGCAGCCCCGCCTCTGCGGCGCCGCCGCTGACCTCGCCGATAGAGAGCGCGCGCCCCACCCACCGCCCTCGCGGCACACATCCCCCAAGAACTGAGCAAAGACTTCACGCATCGACACGGAACCATTCTGGGCAGCGCCGCCCTTATCTACGACGAGCAAGGCCCAGCCCGTGCCTTTGCGTCTCTGCTGCACCCTGCGCAGCACCTACCGGGAAGATCTCGCCGCCCGCCCGGGTCCGCCTCGTTCCGGCGTTCCTTGCGCAGCCCCTGCGCCGCCCGGCCGCGCTCGGGGCGGGCGTCGGCTGGTTCGCCCCCCCGTGCCCGGAGCGACCCGGGCCGCCTAGTCGGTTGGACCCCCCTTGGGGCCACGGCACATACAAGCGCGAACAGAGCCACCACGGAACCGGATGCCCCCGGGCGACGCCCGGCGAGTCCGCGCGAGTTCTGCTCGCGAAAATGCCTTTCGCATCAGTCCCGATCGCGTTCGCGCGCCTTTTTGCGCGCCCCTCCTGAATCACATCAGCCACAAGCGAAACAAATAATCAAATTCTTCCCCCCGTCCGTCTCCGCGGGGACACGCGGCGCCACCGGTCCGACTTCGGCGCGGCCCGCGCCCGGATCGGCGCGGGCGACTCGCCTCCCGCGCGCGGCGAATCCAGAGTTTGCTCCAGGGCCCACCCACCGCTGACGAATCAAAATCGCCACGCCACGCGTCTAGCGAGCCATCCTGAGCGACGGGGGCGGGGCGCTCATCCGGAAATGAGGCCTGCAGCGGGAAATTCGTTTTATTTAGAATTTGGATGGCAAGAAGGCGCCTGAACAGTCAACCACTGAAATCTCCCAGGCTAAACGCAGAAAGCGAAGGGGCGGGCATCTCCCGGACAGAGTCCAGGGAGAGAGAAGAGTAGCATTCATAATGTGGAACTGTAGAGGACACTATACAACAGGACGCACGTGAAGCGACGCCTTCGCAAGTGGAAGAGAAAGCGCGTCTAAGACAAGCACGGGAAAAAGGCCCGCCCCGCACCCCCGAGCACAACGGCCGCGGGGAAACGGACAGGATTGAAACGGGCAAAAGAGGCAGGAGCAATCAACATACAACCGTTCGAAGTCGGGCGCTCAAACGACTCTGCCCGTGCCCCGCCGGCCAGCGCACGCAAACCGCGCGATATCCAACGAGGCCGCAAAGAAGTGCAGCAGCGGGGTGCGCCCCGGGAATTGCCAGACTTCGCGTCGCCCCGAGACACCTTAACCCCAGGTGCCAACCGCAGGGACCGCGCTACGGCGCTCGAGGAAGGGGCGACAACTACTCCCCGCAGGGCTCCTAGAGCAAGCCGAAGCAGGCCGACGTATCCCGCGACAGGAGGCAAGGCTGCACGAGCACCATCCACTGACCAGCCCCCGCATTAAACTTGCAAAGAAATACGGAGAGAAAACGTATGGAGGAGCACAGAAAGACGATTAACGCGCTGCACGCCGAAGTCTGCTCCTCCACACACACAGGCAAGCGCAACAGCCTCTCACTTGCATGACTCGCGATGTCGCGTTCGCGAACATAGTTCGCATCACGCGGAGGTTATCCGAATAGCCCTGCTACGTTGGATTCGCGATACTCGCCAGCGACGCGCGGCTGCCCCTGCCTCTCCACACGTCGCATTCACGAACACAGCCCGCGACATGCAACTGCCGAGATTACGTTCTGCAGCCCAAAAAAACACGCGTCTGCACAACCCGTCGGCGAAACGTTCTCCTCATCCGTTCTGAGGTCACTGCGGCGGGAGCTGGGCGCAGTCTTCTCGCGCCTCTCGTCGCCCGGACTGACCGCGGCGTGGTCGCACTTGACCTTCCCGCACATCACGTGCAGGATCAGCTCACGGCCGATGCCCCCCTTCGTCATGGGGTCGGCCCCGATATCACGAGTATCGCACCAGAGCATGTCACTGATCTGCTTGGTGCGGACCTGGTCGGAGAGCCACCGTTGGTGGCCCGCCATGCTGCACTCTGAGGCGGGACGCACCAGATCCACGGCGATGGCCGCGAAAGCGGACATCCCGTCCACAACCATGGTTGCCTGTCTGGCATAGCCCCCATCCTCTTTCAGTTACCCGGTCCCCTCGGCTGAGACTGGGCCCCGGATGATATCGTGGAGCGCGAGGCGGTACACACGCGACCCCTCAGCTGCGCCGCGCGCTGCTGTCAGCTCGGAAGAGCGGCTCACGACATCAAGCAAGTGGCAGACCTCCTTGCGGGCGCTGCGGCACTTGCCGAGGCGCATGTAGACGACGCCCCTCATTCCGTACCCCGCTTTCTCATCTCTCTTGAAGGAGCCGTCGCTGTGCGCGCAGATCTGGCCAGCGCATGCCATGGCAGAAAAGGAGGCGCGCGCCTTGATACTCTGCATGGCAAGGACCACAGAATTCAGCTCCATAGCGGGTCGTATGACCAGCTTGTTCTTGGCCCGCTGCAGCGCCAATGTCCACTGCGACGTGGTGTTGGGTGAGCAAAGCGTAAGCACCTGCTCCCAGCAAAGAAACGACGAGGTCGGGTATCTCACCTCCTGCGAGTTCGTCGGCCTTCGCCTTGACCAGGCCGACGTGCCTGATCGGTATCGGGGCGTTGATGTACTCGTCCTGGTCGAGCGTCACGGTGCCGTCGGCGCTGCACGGTTGGTGAGCACCACAGATGGTGAAGACGTCGTAGCCCCCCTATCATTTTGTCGAAGACGCCCTCGATATAGCCGACGACCTTGTCGACGTGCTCCTGTTGTCCAACACTCATCAGATCTCCAATGTGCTCGGACAGCATGAGCACAAGTTCTGGGTCGCCATCAACAGAATTGCTGGACTCCTCATGCTTGACCTCGAGCTCTGGGTTTGGTGTTGCAGTCTGGTGAGCGCGTGACCGGGGCGAGTTTCATGGAGAAGCCTCGGGGTGCGCCCTTGAAGCCCGTACCCGGCTTGATGCAGTGCAGGCACTCGGTTGTCTCTTTTGGGGATGGGCAAACCTAAGTGCAAGTGCAAGTGCATATGCCTATGATACCTGGGATATCCTCGGCAACTGAACCGACTGGATCAAGCTAAACTTGTGGGCTCCCTTTCCCTCGCCCCCCCTCCCTGGGCTAACCCCCACGCGGTCCCCCGCGCGGGGGGGGGGCGAGGTAGAGGAGGAGCAGGAGGAGGAGGGGAGGAGGGAGGGGGAGGAGGAGGGGGAGGAGGACGGGGAGGAGGGGGAGGAGAGGGGGCGGGGGGGGGGGGGGAGGGGGGGGGTGGAGGAGGAGGAGAGGGAGGGGGAGGAGGAGGGGGAGGAGGGACGGGGGAGAAGGAGGGACGAGGAAGAAGGAGGGACGAGGGAGGAGGAGGGAATGATCTTCCGCCTCCGCCTCCCCCCCCTTTCCAAAGGCCACTCCCAGACCGCCTGCTTTCTCTCTCGGCTCTCCCCGCCAGCGCGCCCGCGCCCGGCCGGCTCCGCCATCGCCCGCCCGGCGGCGGACCAACCAACCCCGGGCCGCCCGGAGCGCTCGCGCACCGGTGCGCGGACTGGCCCGGCGCCCCTGAGGGCTCAGGCCGTCGACGCGCTCTTCGTCTGCGCGATCAGCGGCTTCGAAGGCCCCAGACTCCCCGGCGTCGCGACACTTACCAGCCTCGAACGTATCCCTATCCCTAAGATTGACACGCCAAAAGGCGATGACAACCTTAGGGATTCGCCCTCAAAAATAAGGGAATCCCTAAGATTGGCATCGTGATGAGGAGATGGCCAGCATTGGGATAGGGATATGTTCCAGGCTGGTAAACAGGGCCCCGAGATCCTGGCGTCTCCGCCCTGGTCGAGCTGGGCGTGTGCGAGCGGCCGCGGGCCCCGTAGGCCCTCACGGGTCGATCCGTCTCGGGGCGTTTCGCAGCTCCGAGGGGGCCCCGCCGCTCCGGGCGAGGCCTCCTACGGTGCGCGAAACTTTTGCTCGAAACGTCGGATCTCGTGGGAGATCGCGGCGGGCAGCTCGGGCTGGAGCCGTCTCGGCCCCCGGGGGGGGGGGGGGGCGCTCTCAGGCCCGGGTGGCCGCCAAGCGACGGCCCGCGGCCGCAGACGGGGCCCCGGGGTGCAGGGGTCGAGAGCTCTGGGGCGCAGGTCACGAAGAGGCGCGACGCCGGAGGTCTGGGGAGGGAGGGCGCCAGCTTTCCACCGACACGGGTTCTGTCCAGGCCAGGAGAGGGTTGTCAAGTGGTCCGCGATAACCGCCGTCACTGTCCCCGCCCCCTGCCCCTGTTAACGTCACGTTTCGCGCTGGCGCCGTCTAGGAATAGCCGAGGACAGCTAGGATTCGCATATCGGTGGGGACCTGCGGGGAGCTAGGCACAGCGTAGGGGGCTTGATGAGAGTAGCCACGAGCAGCGGACCTGGCGCCTGTGCGTGCTACAGTATGCCCGCGGAGGAACCTCCAGGGTACACCACAATGCCTGCGTGCACCACAGCGCCTGTGAACGCCACAGTGCTTGCGTGCACCAGTGGGCGGGTGTGAATAACAATGCCTGTGTACACTCTGGGCCCCCAAGATCGCCCAAGAGGCCCCCAAGAGGGCCCCATGACGGCCCAAGTGGCCTCCAAGATGGCCCCGAGAGGGCCCCAAGACGGCCCAAGAGGCCTCCAACACGCCCAAGATGGCCTCCAAGACGCCCAAGATGGCCTCCACGACGGCCCCGAAGCGCCCCAAAAGGGCCCCAAGTCGGCCCAAAAAGGCCCCCTAAGACGGCTCCCGACGACGTCAGAGGTGCCAGGAACCCACCAAGATGGCCGAAGTTGGCTCGAAGCTGGCCCAAGACGGCCCAAGAGGCCCCCAAGAGGGCCTCCAGGAAGGCCAGAAAAGGCCAAAAACATGGATTTTCCTTAGGTTGTTGACGGATTTTGACATTTCCTTCTTTTCGGCCTTCCGACGGCCCGAGACGGCCCAAGGGCCCCCAAAGATCGCCGAAAGATCGCCCAAGAGGCCTCCAAGACGGCCAAGATGATCTTCAAGATGCCAACGTGTTCCCCGAAGGCTTTCCAAACCGATTCGGGGAACACATGGTCCGATTGCTTGGCAGGTCTGGCCTCAACGTTCGGCCACATAGGCGCTTCCAAAAAGGCAAGGGGCGGCGGTGGTTCGCCGTAGGCGTCTTCGAGCCGCCGCCCCCTGTCGATTCATCGCAGGGGTGCCTGGCGTGCTAGACTATTTCGGTTTTGGTTTTGGCTCTTTTTCCAAAAAAACTCCCCCTGGGGCTTCGGCTCGTCCCGCCGGGGTCCCGGAAAGAGGTGGTTGCCAACGGTCTCCTGCCAATTTACCCCCCTAGATGGGGATATCGGCCGTTTCCTTCGGGTCTCGAAGGGTATATCCCCAACTGGGGTGCCAAGATAGTGGGGGTCTGGATAGGGATGGGGATGGGGATAGGGAAGGATAGGGGTCGATCAAGCGACACTGACGAAAGCAGGACGAGGATGAGGTCATGATGCGATTGGTTCAGGATGCCTTCCAGGAGTTCCCGAGTACCTGTCGGCCCTCGATTCTGGAGCCCGTGCGGGACGACAGGAACTCCTGGAGATCCTGGGGAAACCTGGAAATGGTGGAACGTCTACTTATCATGACACCTTGCTCTTCCTCCTCCTCCTCCTCCTCCTCCTCCTCCTCCTCCTCCTCCTCCTCCTCCTCCTCCTCCTCCTCCTCCTCCTCCTCCTCACTCCTCCTCCCTCCTCCTCCTCCTCCTCCTCCTCCTCCTCCTCCTCCTCCACCTCCTCCCCCTCGTCCTCCCCCTCC